GTGGGAGACTCATTGGAAAAAGCAAGTAAACAACAAACTTCCCAACATTAAGGCAAAACTGGGACCACGAAAACCTTCGGGCCTCTCTAGAAGAGACGAAGTCATTTTACTCGATTTTACGCAACTGACACATGTGTCCCTGGCACATAAATACCTCCTTCGGGTAGATGAGAAGCCGTTCTGTGTCGGGTGCGACACAGATTTTACCTTTAGCCCCATTTTAACCGAATGTCTAGACTTCTGAGAGACCCGAAGGAAATATTTTAGATGCCAAAAATTGCAAGATCTGTTTTCCGTCCATGATCCCAACAGAATTCTGGATTTTATAAAGGCTATTGGCCTTTATGGTAAGATGTGAATGGAATTGTTTAGAATGTAATATGTTATTTAGAAAGTTGTTTTAAATTAGTTTAGTCAAATGTTTGGTATTTTAGCATTTTAATAGAGGTGTTGAGTGTTGACCAGAATCGGGCTGTGCAAGTGTACGGTTGCGAACAGAACCAACCTTTTTTCGAGCGCTCATATGACCTTATGCCGTTGCGGGCGCCGTGAAATTCTTACTATAACTAAACTAAAAACACTGTTAATGAGGAAAGGGGAGGAGCTACTGTCTATATCAAACTTTTTATATAACAGGCCTATCTAAATAGAAAATACATTATTTTAATTTCAGATGGATATCTAAGCATGATAATAATATACAATAATATGTATATTTTGAATGCGTTCTAGATATATCTAGATCTTGATAGATCTTTTGCTTTGGCTATAGAGAAAAAAAGTCAATGTAAAATAAATTGGCATGACTGCTCTGGTATATTCATAGCTTGTCATATTGCCATGGGACTGCTCCTTGGAGAGAAGTAAAGTACATAGCGAAATAGTCTCTTGTTGCAGCTTTAGTTGTGGAAGCACGTAGATCTACATAATTTGTGGCGTTCATTCTCAGTACAGAGCAATCATAGAGCGTGTTTTCGAATGTCACACCGTCTCTTTTGAACGAAAAAACCGCTTTTTCCTTTTTTTATTCCTAAGTGCAATCACAAGAGCACAGACAACAACTGCGTCGTGGAAGTCCATGGCGTCAAATGAGGAAGTCAGTAAAGATGATAGCCTAGCTGATGAATTAGCTCTGTGCGCGCGGTGTATAAAATAAGTTGCCCGGAGACAGCAACTGTTGGCAACTAAAATTGCCCTGTGCGCACCTAGCTGCTGTCTCTATAATA